TATATATATATATATATATATATATATATATGTAAATTTGACATAGGCAGACTAAGAAAAGGTTTAAAAAAAAAACAAGTAATGGGATTGAAAACAGAAAAGAAATTCAAAGCAAAATCACTTGAAATAGGCAGTTTTTGCAATGTCGGTACGGCGCACTGAAATGTTAAGTCGATTTGAACAGCTGCATATTTGGGATTGAATGTACTCAGACAGAACAAAAACTAAGCCGTATTGTTGATTGCACATGCATTTCGTTTGTTTAAGTCTTTGTCTGCTAATGTCTGTATAGTTGTTCGTTATGATCATTGAGGTAACAAAATTTTCTACAAGTATTCTTTATTTATTTTTTCTTTTTTTTGAACGGTACCTCAATATGCAACTTTTTATCATTACCCTTTCCTTTAACGGGTATTTTTGTTCATGGTTGTTTCTGCGGTAAATAGACTCGTTTTAGGTAGACGAAGAAATTTCTATTTTTTTCAACCAATTAGTTGTACGACAGAATCCTGGAAAGAAATAGCTAACGAAATAGGTATTCTATCAACTGTTACCAATCCAATTATATAAGCGATCATGAACGAATTACATTGATTTTTTTATAGCTTAACTCAATCAACTGGAACAGGGTCATCAAGCATTATTAGAAACGATACTGAAAGAGATGAGGAATGCTGAATTGTTTGGTAGGGAGATGCAAAAAGAAGGTAAAACATTTACAGAGATACAAAGCGATCAATATTTTTTCCGCTTTCTTTTTTTTGCTTTGGTTTAGTCTTTTTTCATTTTATTTATATTTTTTCACTTCATTATTTATGTTTCAGTCTTAAACTTTTAATATCAGTCGTTTAGAGGAAAATAAAATTCCGTCAAGAATCTTTTTTGCCTGCTTTTCATCTTTTTGTTCTGTGTAAAAGATAGTCAAAGTTGAACTCAAATTTTTTAATGGTTTTTATAACAAAACAAACTTCGAAGTGGGTGAAAAAAATCTTATATTTATAAAAAAAGAAAATGCTATTTGTTATCACTTTTTGTACTTTTTCTCGCAGCTTTTGGACTTCTTGAGATTCGAGACGATGAAGTTTGGCTTCGTTTTGCGGCATCCTAAGAACTGATAATCGTTGTAAAAAAAAAAAAGATAACATTTAATTAGCAAAAACTTATGCTTTTATTAATATTTTCCACTCTTCTCCAATCATTAATGAAATTAAACTCCAACTATCAATAGCACCATAATGATTAATCAAATGATCTACAGGCCTGTAACCTTTCGAGCTTCGGAATATAGGTGCCGTTTAGTTTTTTCAATGCTACCGCCATGATAGCTGGTTACAGATTGATCTCTTTTACTTGAGCTTTTTCCGGAACCTGTATATCCTTCTGATGTGGCAGACAACTTCTCCTGACTTCTCCGGAATTTTGTCGGTTGATACTAAAACATCAGTAAAGCCTTTTGGAAAGTGTTAATGAGTGTCAAAAGAACAGCAGCATTGAACAGGCTTTTAGTGCTAACATCATTATACTAAATAGCACTTACAAGTCGAGTTCGACTACGAGGAGTGTCTGTTTCTTTGCTGGTTGAAGAGGAGACTTGCGGTGAACGTCGTTCGCTAACCATTGGTTTTACAACAGATTTCGGTTTAGCGATTGATTTCTAAACGCAGAAATTTTCTTTATTTCAACAACAGAGTAAAAATAAACTAAAAAAAGTGCACAATTTATCCAATTATTTGTAAAGATACATTAGTGGTTTCCTATCCAAACAAAATTTTTTAAACTAGTAATTTGATCGCCTAATGGAAGTTGGACGATTGTTCATCTTTTTATGATGTATGACATTAGTCACTCTATGAAACAAATACTTCAATATTTTTACAAAAAAAGTTTCAAAATTTTGCTTTGAAAAAAATGACTTTGGTTCACTCTATTCAGACATAAGCGAGATTTCAAATGAACGGTAAATACGGTGAATACCGGTGTTGTGTTGGAGTCAATTTTTGGTACTACGAGGTTTCTGCTAAGTCCGCTCATAACAGTTTGAGTATTTTGTCGCTCTAACCGTTGCTGAAAAATAAGAAATACGTTTCAAAGATCACCGCTATTTTGCAGTGCTTAAGGTAGCAATAAATGATGACAGTCTCTATTGCTTTGTATTTATAGGAAATTCGAAAAGCTGTTTTTTAAGAACATTACATCTCAACTCATTTGAGGATTGTCTAGGTAGATTAGAAACTTCTTGTACTTGCTCACCATTTGGTGCTAACAGCTTACTGAATAAATACTACTTTATAAATATATTGGTTTTAATTAATGATTGTTAAACTGAATAAAGTTGGCTTAGAATATAATGAAACTTTTAAATGTTGCTTTCACCTCTTCAGATTCCTGCGATTCGCCCTCCTCGGTTTCCTCTAGCTTTACACTAGCCATTTCTTCTGGACGTTTTCGAAAGGGGCTAACTTTTGGGCTAGTTGATACAGATTTTGCACGTCTTTCTGTTTGCAATTTTGTTATTAAGGAACCGTGTTTTTTTTGTTTTGTTTCTTCTTCAGTACTTGAAATAGACGATTCATGTTTAACTGGTGGCTGTGGTGCCGGAGGTGGTGATGGCTGAGCGACTTCTGCATCATTTTTCACTGTGCGCATCTTCAAACTGTTTGCTCTACGCGGAACCTAAGGTTCACTAGAATTACCATACAGTTATTGTCAAAAAACAAAGATTTACTAAGTGGTTGTCTACTGAGCACAGTATTGTGCAATTAAATGAATTTCTTCAAAAATTCAAACTTTTTCTTCGATAACTTCCATTCTGTGTTTGCTGTCAAATAAACGTCCACTTTCATCAGCCTAAATTTAAAAAATCATTTAAATCAAAGTGGATATTTAATGTGGAAAAACTTCAGAGCAGAAAAATGAACCTGGTCACCAGCCCGGAACGGCCGCCACCGTTCTAACGAACTTGCCCGTTCATGTGAACCGTAACTTTGTACACCCGCACTTGATGACCGTTTATAAGCCTAAAATGAATGAAATCAAACACAAAGCAAAAAAAGAGTTAGTTCTTAATATTTGAGAAAACAAAGTCCTTGGCTTCTAGCAAATACTGGGAGGTGTTATGTGTATTACCAATTTTTGGTTCTTACCCTGTTAAAACTTGAAAACTTCGGTGGTGGAGCGCGTGGTTGTTTCATTTCAACAAAAATGCCACCTGAAAACCATATCCGACGGTTCAAGAGTTATGTTCACATTTTTGACTGTTAATAATAACAAAAATTAGTTTTTACTTAGCTCAAATTCCTCACTTTCTTTTATACGCTGTTGGTCGTGCTCGTCTAACAAATTCCACGACTCAGTTTTAACTGCAGATGCTGCGTAGTGTAGAATGTGCTTGTCAACCAGCTCATATAGCCTCCGTATAAGATTAAGAAATTTCTAAAATCATAAAAATTAGGCCTTTTGTTAATCGCTTACATGCACTTCCTAAATTTTAATGTCACATCTGTAAATCTGTAATCAATTTTTCAAAATTTACTGGATTCCAAACGTCCACCGTTGATGATAGAAGTGCTTTCTTCGGAGACGGGATATCCTTCCGAATAATATCAATCAATTTACACAAGCTTAGATAAGATCTAATAGCAGTATCGGCGCTTAGACTATGGACTAGAGGAAGGAACACATCTTCCAAGAGACCGATGTTGAGAGCTAAGCCCTAAAGTTACTGATATAAAAGGAATGACAGCAGTTCAGTCGTAATAACCAACAGACAGTCGTGCTAAACAGCTTTACCTTGCCATGTGAGCGAAATGATTTTGAAAATAAAACTGCATCAAAAGACTGTAAGAGTAATTCTTGAGCAAAGTCAAGAACGTCGGACACGAGAATTTGTACGCTTTCGCTTGCCTTACCGGTGCGTGAATAAGGTAAGCTTGCCTTAAAAATAATGCGGCGTTGAAATGAAGATTTTCAAAGCTTCGAGGAGAAATGGAACAAATAACACTAATTTTAAAAACAACCTGTAACCTCTCGCATCCAAGCATCACATCAATAACTGCTTCTTCGTCCTAAAATAGCCATTATGTTAATACACTAATTACAATCCAAGGTTGAACATCCGATATTGCAGTAAACTAATAACATAAGACTTTTCGAACAGTGACCAATTCTACCAACTTAAGAGGAAGAGAATGTCGAAAATGTTAGACCTAAAGCTGATAAACAAGCGGTCCACATACCATTTCTTCAACTAGGGCGTCAAAACAGGCCTTCTGCCACCTCGGATTCAAATGTGCAAAAACTCGACCCTTCCATATTCGAGAAAAATGTTTCGCCTGCCATGCTAGAGCCTAAAAGATGTTTTGTTTTTTTTACTGTTAACCAAATGTCCGTTTTTTTCCTGCTAATAAGGCTTAGTTTAGGATTTCCAAAACCGAAAAATCCAAAAAATGCATTTCGTATGAAAATTTGGCAGAAAAAAAAAAGCTGGATTTGATCCGATGACAGCCGCATTTGTATTACTCATAGCTTTGTTTAATTTGCAAACAATTCAATAAGGTTTTCTTCCTTATACTTCTAAAATTTAATTATTTATCCAAATGACCAGCAAAAACTGACAAATGAGGGCAAAATTTAAAACTTTATTGTAAAACAAAAAGAAAACTAATTGTAAAATTTCTCTAACAGCAACTTAATTTATTTAGGAATTGTTGTTGCAAAAAATAAGAGTTGTCTAGAGTAGCGGTTTGAAAAATTTCTAAAAAACTGCTGTATTTCCAATGACTTTTTCCTTTAGAGAAAAGGGTACAAAATGCTTGCCAAAGTTTTTTTCAACTTTTTGGCTGATGGTTTCAAGTTGCAGTCTAAACGTCATATAGATAAGGAAATTTTTACAAACTTTGGTTTTCTACTAATTCGTTGATTACAAATTTCATTGACATTTTGTTTCAAAAATTTGGTATTTTTGGCAGTACATAAAGAATGCTCACTTCAGATATTTCTGAAAAGTTTGCTTTTTTTTACCAGAAAATAAACTGTTCAAAGTTTTATCTGCAGTCAATCCGTCAATTTTTTTTGGTATAGTTGCTGATTAACAAATAAAATTTTATGTGAAAAAGTTAATATTTTGCTAGCAAAAAAAAAAGACATTTTTTTTTGCATCCAAAATAAACAACGATGCCAAAAATGTATCATGCTCAGACAAAAATTAACTTTTTTGTTTTTCTTTGAAAAATTAGACTACAACAGAAATGTATCATAATAAATTATGTGTTGTAAATTTCTATATTGCCAAAACTCTATCGCATCCCATCAGTCAAATTTTAAAAGCAAAAAGAAAGAAGGAAAATTTTGGTTTAAAATTAGACAATTTTTACAAATTGACACTGAATTAACCATCCAATTTTGGATGATTAACACACAAATACGGCCACCCGTTTTGCACTTTCAACAAACTGCAATTGCTTCTTACTTCTTTGTACAGTGGATGAAGGCACTTTATGGCGTAGAACTGAGGAAGTGCATCGAATACAGCTGATACACAGGAGGCGCATGGCTGAAATTGTCTTGCTGATACATACAGTTGTCAACAAGGCAAAGATGTTACTGAGACTGAACAATATGCTTTATGGAATTGATTCCTGCTTTTTCTTTTTCCTTCCTCAACCACCAAAAATATCTTAATATTGGCATAAACCATTGACTGATGGAACAAAAAATTTCCTGGCTTCATTGCTTTTACAGACTAAATTTATTTTACATCTATAAACAGATAAAAGTTTTGAATAAAAGTCCCCCCCCCCCC